CAGAGATAACATGTCCTAGATAATTCACTTCGCGCTTGAAGAAAGAGCATTTCTTTGGACTCAACTTCAAATTTGCTCCACGCAGCTTGTCGAGTACCTTTTCCAATTTCCTTAGATGATCGTCAAAATCCCGTCCAACAATGATGATGTCATCGAGGTAAACTAGGCAGGTTTCGCCCAGCAGACCCGCCAGCACCTGTTCCATCAAACGCTCAAAGGTTGCCGGTGCATTGCATAATCCAAATGGCATCACCTTAAATTGCCAGAGTCCCTTCCCAGTTGAGAATGCAGTCTTTTCCTTGTCCTTGGGATCCAAATCCACCTGCCAATAGCCGCTTTTCAGATCGAGCGTTGAAAACCATTTCATGCCACTCAGTGTGTCAAGTGTGTCATCGATTCTTGGTAACGGGTAGCTATCCTTCTTGGTTACATCATTCAATCGTCGATAGTCTACGCAAAACCTCGTTGAACCATCTTTCTTCTTGACAAGCACGACAGGTGAACACCAGGGGCTAGAAGAGGGCTCTATCACGTCATTTTTCCTCATATCGTCAATCATTTGTTCAACCTCTTTCTCACGAGCGAATGGTATGCGTCTGGGCCTTTGACGAATTGGCATTGTATCACCTGTGTTTATTTTATGCTTCACCACACCAGTTCGGCCAATATCACCATCGCTTCTTGAAAACACATCAGAGAATCGAAGAAGTAAATTTCTAGCTTTCATAGTCTCCACTTTTGTCAGACTTTTGTTTTCGTCTAAGATTTTCGTTACAAAGTCTATTCCCGTACTGTCCTTTTTCACAAGATTCTCTGAGCATTTTCTTATCCAGGCCACTTCTTCCAATACGCCCACAGGCTCTCCTTCTTCAATCGTAATTTTTGAATCACTGAAGTTGAATACCGGAATGCGGTTGACATCAGATGACCCCACGACAGTTCTTGCCGGTAGCCATGAGTTTACGTGTTCCGATTTATCAATCACAGCGCACCTTCGAGGTAAACTTCCTTCCCTCCTCCTAGGTAATGCGATTGGTACGAGAGTCTGTGATTTTGGTGCAAGAACAGTTCTTCTTAAACAGCAAACTTTTCCTAGGGTTCCACCCTTCATCGGAATTTCCTCAGTTCCACATAGTAATACTCCAGATTTTAAGTCGATATTACACTGGTGCCCTCGCAGGAAGTCAAGTCCCAGGATGCAGTCATCCAGAATTTTGGCCATAATAACCTCATGTCGATAAACACGTTCCCCAATTTTGATTGTTACATGCAATTTTCCACTTATCGGTATGCACTGGCCGGTAGCTGATTTCATTTGTAGGCCAACAATTGGTTTAAGGTGTTTCCTGATGTTTTGCTCGAGCAGCCGAACATTCATCACCGTCCTTGAAGCTCCAGTATCTAATGTTAGCTGACTGTTTTTCCCATTTACTTGACCGTCTATCACCAGAGTATTTCCATCGTTAGTTTGCTTGATGTAGATTGTTGGGGTTATTCCACTACCTGCCAGCGCCCACCCCGCAGCCCTGGCTGGATTTAGTTTCCCTGCTGGTCAGAAGTTGAGACCGCCGCGTCCTGGCGGTTCACCTTCTTCGGGCAGTTGCTCCGCATGTGCCCACGCTCTCCGCATCCATAGCACATGAAGTTCCGACGGCGTGAAGGTACCTGCTCCGTTGTCGTCATTTCCCGCAGACGTAAGGTACGGGAGTTACCACGCACGGCTTCCACTTCCAATGCATGGGCCAGAGCTTCTTTCATGTTCTTGTGATGGCCCAGATGAACAGCGGCTCGTACTTCGGGGTCCCGAATACCGTCAATGAACGCTTGGAGAAGCGTGCCTTCAATCATTGACGGAGTCGACCGGAAAGCTCGACGCACAAGTTTCTCGATTTCCACAGACCATTGCTGTAGGCCCTCATTAGCACGCTGAGTACGCTCTTTTAATTGCGCTCTGTACACGTGCTCGAGGTGGCTGTCTCCAAAACGTGCCTCAAGTGCGTCGAGGAGGGCACTAAAGCTGAGATCCCCACTTGCGCCGATAGCTTCCAGCACTGAGAGCGCTTGATCACGGAGGGCCAGGGTAAGGGCTGACTGTGCTTCCTTCTGAGTCCAACCATAAGCCTCCATAAGTGTCTCAAACTGTAGCTTGAACGCGGTCCAGGATGTTGTTCCGTCGTAATGGGGAATCTTAAGCCCTTTCGTTGCACTTGAAGCCGCATTTGGGGCTTCAAAAACGGCTGCAAGACGGCTTCGGCTCTTCAAAGGGCTTGGGCTTGTCACTTCCTGCTTGATTTTGGAGATCTCTCCTTCCACTCTCTCCTCTATCGCCTTGACGCGATGTTCCAACTTGCCTAACCCTTCCTCCACTTCTTGTACCCGTTCGACAGCCTTTTGCAGTCCCTTCGTAAAATCCTTATGCATGTCTTCCAAGCGACGCGCTTGCTCCTCTTGGCGGCGAGCTTGATCCTCTTTCAGCTCCCGTAGCTGCTCCGCCTGACAGCGTGCATGCTCCTCTTGGCGACGAGCTTGCTCCTCTTGGCGACGAGCTTGCTCCTCTTGGCGACGAGCTTGCTCCTCTTGGCGACGAGCTTGCTCCTCTTGGCGACGAGCTTGATCTTCTTTCAGCTCCCGTAGCTGTTCTTCTTGGCGGCGCGCTTGCTCTACCATCATTTGCTGCAGCTGTAGCAGTAGATCCACCTGCACAGGCTTGGCTTCTGCATCGCTGGTTTGAGCTGCAGCACTCTCTTCCCTCACACGCTGCGCTTCTGCCATTGCACGGGTACTCACTCCTCTTACGTCCTGCGGCACTAGCGGCATTTTTCTCCAATCCCACTTCTGACACCAAATGTTACGTGCCTGACGTCACGTTCCTGACTATGCGGGCTTGGGTTACGGGATTGGATGAAATGAAACACTAATACCAGATTTCAGACTTTCTATTGCACTTAAGTTACAGCGTCCACGGAGTTAAGTTATCGGCGTTCCTCTCCAGCAGAGTCCGGCCGACTGACACAACTTTGCCGTTCACGCTGACTTAACTCACTTAACTGACTGCACTTCACTATTTCACTGCACTTCACTATTTCACTCACTTTTCTTCTTTTTCACTTCCTCCTTTTCTTCCGAATCGCTTTAGACTTAGAACTCAACTGCCGGCGGTGAGCCGCAGTTCCGCTTATATACCCCCGGTTCAGGTTCTGGAACATTCAATTTCGTTATTCTTTTTGATCGTCATGACTCCAGAACCTTCCAATAATTTCGTTACTCATTTTAATTTATTCTCCTTCTCGCTCTTTAATGTTTTATTTCTTTCACACAAATAGTTCCAGAAAGTTCCACAAAACTTCTATCAACTAAAAAAAACTACATGTTTACGGCGGGACTCGAACTCGGGGTCTCTGTGGTGTAATCCACACGCCTTACCGATTACACCAACTCGTGTTGACAATTCACGACGAAATTTACAATCTCTAGGCAACGTTTGACAACCATCCATTGACGTCATGATGTCAAAGAGTTTGAACCACTTTTCCGTCACAATATGTTATTAGTCTAATACATCCAACAGAATATTAATTAGATAATAATGACAATAGTATACAGTGATATCATTGTGTCTTTATAATCAATCAAAAGTATATACGTCATATCCGGCGGCTGTCAAATCAAAAACAAATCAAAATCATTTATTCCAACTAAACCATAAATAGGTACTTTTGAAACGTCAAACGACGTCGTGTCTATTTAGTACTTTTTAAACACACTCCTTCTATTTCCGTGTGTGTTGTAAGGACGCTTTCTTATAAACTTAATCTTTTTGAATTATCATATCTCTTGCCAAGTGCGGAGAAAAAGGCAAACGCCTCTTTTCAATACCTCTTTTGTAGGGTCCATGGTACAACAGACGTGCTGTTTATATTACCCAACAGACAATGGATGTAGGTTGCTTTCGATTGGCCGATCCAATGGGGTTGGTCTATGTTTAGCAAAAAACTTTTTATATATAATATGTTTATTTATTTTTTGAGGGGAAAATCATCGAATGATTTACCGCTCAGAGCCGTGTGGGGCGGGAAGGAGTTTAAGACTTTTTCTGAATAAAAAAATGGAATTTTCCAGAAAAGGAACGGGGTATTTTTCCTAACACCACGGCCTAGAGCCAGCTCTTATTGCGCTTACCCCGCAATCCCGGCTGAACATCAGCCCTATACCCTATATATAGGGCTAATGTGCAGGCCCGTCTTTGGTGGTCTATGTATTGGCAAACTATACCATAGATTGATGGTGTTTGTTACTCTTTCATCATGGCTGCTTTTTAACGTGTTTATTTGTATGTTCTTTGGGCTAAGCCACTAACGATTAACTAGATATTAAATCATTACAGCTATTTTTGTGTATGTTATGAAGGATAGAATAACTGTATATCAGTGTTTTGTATCGAAACCAATGTCGTGTGAGTAACACATGTCAGTCAAGGTCTTCACAGTACAGACATGCAATGTTACCATAGATCATAGTGCTAGATAATATATGGAACAACATAAACCATTAAGTGCTGAATGACTGTGTTAATTTTTAAATGTATTTTTTGTACGTATTTATTTTAATAAGGTATAAATTTACGACCTTTAGAAATGGAAAGGCTTTAGCATAGTATTGCCCTTACGTCTTTTCGTATCTGTGAAGGTTAAATTTGATTTTGAAATAAAAGAATGATGTGTTTTTAATACAAATACGATAAATTCTGTATTTAACCGCTAGGTACTTGATTTTCATTAGGAGTTGACGTTACCAATATGAAAAATTTAATTGAAAAATAAAAAAAACATATTTACTTGTACTCAATAACAATTACGTACATATATTATGTCGTGATATAAGCCTCCTGTTAATCAAACAAAGCCTCACTCTTTCATATAGAACATAACAAGTTGACTTTAATAAAAAAATTGTTAATATAAGAAGATAAAATAACTCAATTTCTTGTATTTCTTTTGCAGTCATGGTCTCTAGTGGGCATAGTCCTGATGATCTCAACGGGCCTCATAATGTTCACATATAAGGCCACGCAGTTCAACCTCCTTGGGTTCAATTTCCTGCTGATCGCGTCCTTCGCGGCTGGTCTGCGATGGACGTTCGCGCAGCTACTGATGCAGAAATCCAAGCTGGGTCTACACAACCCTGTCGACATGGTATTCCACGTGCAGCCGTGGATGTTCGTCTCGCTGCTGCCCTTCACGATCATGTTCGAAGGTAAGGAGTTTGTTTATGTATATTTATTTTCTAAAATGCCTGCGTACTAGACTCATCATCAAATTCAACTGTACTCCTTAGAATCTAATTCAAATTGTGATGTGGAATTCAAAGTTGGTATAGTAGTTGTATAAATCGTAATTAGAGTTCAAATCAATACACATTCAAATAAGGTACTCCTAAATGACTTGCATTTAAGAAAAAAAGTGGTTTAAGAAAATAGGTTGTCTAGGGTAGTAATTTTATTCTACTTAAATCTATATGTGGGTGCTTATTCGTAAACATACTGTTTATTTAGTCTAGCTGACGCGTCTATACAGGGTGTAAGGGACAGCCGTCCACAAATTAACAGGGTGCATTCAGCTCCTTATTCTGAATCATATTCCAGTGAAAATTCTTTCAGGAAAATTTTCATTTTTTTTTTCGTTTTTTCAGTTCCTACACCTCTATTTCAATGTATAATTACATTCTATGTATGAAGAATAACATTAATGTAAATAACACAGCTAAAACAAAAAAATACGCAATGGTTGTGTGAATTCTCTAAAGAACTACGCATGAAATCAGCTGTTCAATTTCTACCTAGCGCGAGTCGTTTGAACTCACCGCACCGCGGTCACGGCGCAGCGGCTCGGCGCCCCACCGCGCCGATCGCCGCGCCGCCGTAGGTATACCTACGATCCGTCCAACGTACAGAATAGCTGCGTCCCTTTCTGTCGATTGAACCAGTGTTGCCAACTTTTAACTTTTGTTACCTCTTCTACCTTTCTACCTTTGTAAACGAAAATGTTAGAACTATCGAAATTTATCTAAAACTTGAGAACTCCTTTGCATTCATAATCACATTGATGAGATTTTCATTAATCAATTAATGAAAATCTTGTCGCGCACATAAATTGAATAAAAAATAAATAAAGATTAGTCTAGTTCTAATTTTAAAGCATTTACAAATACTACCTAATTTATTAATTGATTGTTCTTTTTAAGCGATTACTGGCTCGTTTTTAAACTACTTACAGATTTACATGGCTTCACAATAGCCATGAATTGATAGTCGAGCCAGAAATTAAACACAATCTCCCTGGAATGGAAGCACAGCTTTCTATCACACTGCACTTTTATTATTCTAAATTAACTAAACAATGAAATTAGAATTAAATTGATTTAATCAATTCATTTCTCTACAAAAAATAACAGAATGATAAATTACGACCATGCATAATTTTTAATTTTTTACCCCGAAATTTTGTACCTAATTTTCGTGTAATTGGCAACAACAGATTTATGTTTGTGTGTGTCTCATCACATGCAGTCGCCATTGTGCCTTGTTGCGATGTTACTGTTTATGTTCCGCGAGCGTGTGTTGGTACGGATCGCTCGCGCATTCGGCTTAAAAGTTTTGTTATAAGTAGTGTTGTTAAGTTTTATTAGTTATGTAGTGTGTGAAGTGTAGTGAAGTTTTGTTGTAGAAATTGTGCGAAATTACTACCTAGGTATGTTTTGCGCGCGTGATTATGGGGAGATGATAATGTGTTGTAGTAGTGTAGGTATCCTGACCGTCGGCATCCATCAGACTCCAGGATAATTACTGGTGACTATCAACGCTTGCTAGAAAACCAGCCCATTGTTCCCAGACAAAAAGGCGCCGAAAGACCAATACCTACGTGGATTTTGGAATTGGTTCGCTAACGTAACGAGACGCTACCACTTACCAGTGCTTTCCTATTTAAACGTAGTTTAGGTAGGTTTGGACCGCAACCGTGGCCAGCACGATCCCCAGACGTAACCCATTTGGACCCCTTTTTGTACGTAAAAGAAAAAGTGTTTGTGAGTGCGTGTGCAAGTGAGTACGAAATGCGAGACCGCATCACAATGCTTTCCAGAGCCGGAAACCGGAGCGATTCTAAGGTACCTACGCATTTTTCTTTTTTTATCATTTATCAGTTACCATGTTATGATTGTTAGATTTTCTTTTGTTAGTAATGCGGCTATCTTTTAAATAATAATTTATTGTTATTAAAACGTGGCGCGAGCGCGATTATTAAATTGTCTTTTGTAAGTAATGCGGCTATCTTTTAAATAATAATTTATTGTTATTAAAACGTGGCGCGAGCGCGACCGTTTGTCTGAAGGAACGAATCTGTAAGTAGTTTAAAAACGAGCCAGTAATCGCTTAAAAAGAACAATCAATTAATAAATTAGGTAGTATTTGTAAATGCTTTAAAATTAGAACTAGACTAATCTTTATTTATTTTTTATTCAATTTATGTGCGCGACAAGATTTTCATTAATTGATTAATGAAAATCTCATCAATGTGATTATGAATGCAAAGGAGTTCTCAAGTTTTAGATAAATTTCGATAGTTCTAACATTTTCGTTTACAAAGGTAGAAAGGTAGAAGAGGTAACAAAAGTTAAAAGTTGGCAACACTGGTTCAATCGACAGAAAGGGACGCAGCTATTCTGTACGTTGGACGGATCGTAGGTATACCTACGGCGGCGCGGCGATCCATGTCTCTCTTCCGTCACAACACTACAAATGCCTACCTACCGACATACATATTATATTTAAGGGAAAAACCATTCAGTATCAAGTTCAATAGCGGTTCTGAACACAAGTTTAGTTCAAATAAGATACGGTACAGAATTATTGATCACTGCTGAGTACCTTTCAATTAGTAACGGACTGCCGTTAAGGCGAATACTATTGCAGTATTGATTCGAAATGCATTTCTTTTTCAAACTTACGGCTTGCCCTTGCTTCGCACGAGTGTTAACTGCTAGGTACAATGGGGGTTAACAATTTGGTCGTAATTTTTTTATTACAACAAACAGAATGTACTGAGGCCAGCAATCCACATGTGATATAAACAAATGAAACTGGGAATGATTTTTATATACATAATTGGTAAAATGTGGTTAAGAGCTGACCATTTAATTTTTTTAAACATATTATTTTCACCTACACCATGGAATGTATTTAAAGACATACATACAGGGTGTAAGGGACAGCCCTCCACAAATTAACAGGGTGCATTCAGCTCCTTATTCTGAATCATATTCCAGTGAAAATTCTTTCAGGAAAATTTTCAATTTTGTTTTCGTTTTTTCAGTTCCTACACCTCTATTTCAATGTATAATTACATTCTATGTATGAAGAATAACATTAATGTAAATAACACCGCTAAAACAAAAAAATACGCAATGGTTGTGTGAATTCTCTAAAGAACTACGCATGAAATCAGCTGTTCAATTTCTACCTAGCGCGAGTCGTTTGAACTCACCGCACCGCGGTCACGGCGCAGCGGCTCGGCGCCCCACCGCGCCGATCGCCGCGCCGCGCGCCGTAGGTATAATACCTACGATCCCGTCCAACGTACAGAATAGCTGCGTCCCTTTCTATCGCCCCGCCTCCGCGTCTCCCCGTCTCCCCGATTCTTTGCACAATGTTTGCCCGATTGAACCAGTGTTGCCAATTTTTAACTTTTGTTACCTCAGGTAGTAAACGAAAATGTTAGAACTAGCGAAATTTATCTGAAACTTGAGAACTCCTTTGCATTCATAATTACGTTGATGAGATTTTCATTAATCAATTAATGAAAATCTTGTCGCGCACATAAATTGAATAAGAAATAAATAAAGATTAGTCTAGTTTTAATTTTAAAGCATTTACAAATACTACCTAATTTATTAATTGATTGTTCTTTTTAAGCGATTACTGGCTAGTTTTTAAACTACTTACAGATTTTTACATGGCTTCACAATAGCCATGAATTGATAGTCGAGCCAGAAATTAAACACAATCTCCCTGGAATGGAAGCACAGCTTTTTATCACACTGCACTTTTATTATTCTAAATTAACTAAACAATGAAATTAGAATTAAATTGATTTAATCAATTCATTACTCTACAAAAAATAACAGAATGATAAATTACGACCATGCATAATTTTTTATTTTTTACCCCGAAATTTTGTAATTTTCGTGTAATTGGCAACAACAGATTTATGTTTGTGTGTGTCTCATCACATGCAGTCGCCATTGTGCCTTGCTGCGATGTTATTGTTTGTGTACCGCGAGCGTGTGTCGGCACGGATCGCTCGCGCATTCGGCTTAAAAGTTTTGTTATAAGTAGTGTTGTTAAGTTTTATTAGTTATGTAGTGTGTGAAGTGTAGTGAAGTTTTGTTGTAGAAATTGTGCGAAATTACTACCTAGGTACGTTTAGCGCGCGTGATTATGGGGAGATAATAATGTGTTGTAGTAGTGTAGGTATCCTGACCGTCGCCATCCATCAGACTCCAGGATAATTACTGGTGACTATCAACGCTTGCTAGAAAACCAGCCCATTGTTCCCAGACAAAAAGGCGCCGGAAGACCAATACCTACGTGGATTTTGGAATTGGTTCGCTAACGTAACGAGACGCTACCACTTACCAGTGCTTTCCTATTTAAACGTAGTTTAGGTAGGTTTGGACCGCAACCGTGGCCAGCACGATCCCCAGACCTAACCCATTTGGACCCCTTTTTGTGGGGTTACGTAAAAGAAAAAGTGTTTGTGAGTGCGTGTGCAAGTGAGTACGAAATGCGAGACCGCATCACAAATGCTTTCCAGAGCCGGAAACCGGAGCGATTCTAAGGTACCTACGCATTTTTCTTTTTTTATCATTTATCAGTTACCATGTTATGATTGTTAGATTTTTTTTGTAAGTAATGCAGCTATCTTTTAAATAATAATTTATTGTTATTAAAACGTGGCGCGAGCGCGATTATTACATTGTCTTTTGTAAGTAATGCGGCTATCTTTTAAATAATAATTTATTGTTATTAAAACGTGGCGCGAGCGCGACCGTTTGTCTGAACGTAAGGTCGCGGCGCTGCCCATAGTGTAAAGTAATAATACTAAAAGCGCTGCCGTTCCCTGCGTGCGTTTGCGGTGGTAGCGATACATTGCGTGTAAGGTAATGAAACAAATCGGTTTAATTGGATTCCCATAACGTTC